AAGGATGTCATGCTGGGTAAGGTGGAGGGTCAGAGAAAAAGAGGAAGACCCCAACAAGATGGACTGGCCAGGTGGCATCATTGATGGTGTCAAGTGTGGCAGCGGTAGTGAGGTTGGCCCAGGATGGGACATTGTTTCGTTCTGCTGTGCATGGGGTCACTATGAGTCGGTTCCGACTCGATTGCACCTGACAACAACATGGTAATTGGTTTCCGTGCTCAGCATTTCTTAAAGGCAGATTCTACAGCAAAGGCCTCTGATAGGAGCAGATTGAGCTTGTTCTGGGATGGTGAGCATCTGTGATTCTTTGGGGCCCTAATTCAGACTCCTCCCAGGTGCTGCCATCCCCCTTTGTTCCTATGGAAGGTTTGTCCTTTAAAGTTCTGCCTAGAGCACTAAGTAAACCAGTCCAACTTGCAAAGTATCTCACAAGGAAGTAAAAATACAGAATTTTTATGGTGGTCTTTCTTAATAGCATGTCCCAGGATGTGACTGTTCAGCCATGTAACGTGGGTATGTCCTGTACATCTTTACAATTGCTCAAGCAAGGAGGGAAGAAGGCTTCAACATTCCTTAGAAGTTCAGTCACAAGATTTCAGTGACTAATTGGCCAATGTTTAATCCTAATTTCTGGGCCCCCTTATCCCCTTGTCTCAAGACTACCAACAGTTTTTTAAATTAGAAAGGTAAAAGAAAAGAAATCAATGTAAGTGAAAACTATAAAATATGTATTCAAAAACTACAAAAGGAATATATATACTCTATTATGTTCATTTTTTTAATAGTAGTTGAAAATGCAAATTTAAGTAACTGTGAGCAAAAATGATTTCAACTGAATGCAGCTCCAAAAGTTAATACATGCAGAAGACTTGACAGAGAAAAGTTATTTTTAAATTACTGTCTAATTTATAATTAAGTCCTTATTGACATAATTCAAATTTCTAAAAGTCCACTAAGAATTTTGAATCAAAACCAGAAATTTTTAATAAATTTAACTTCAACTCTAGGTAAGAGTGTGGGATGTGTAGTCAGATAAATTTGCCATTTTGTAGCTATTCAGTAAGGAGCTCTGGTAGCGTAGTGGTTACGAATCAGGCTGCGAACTTTAAGATTAGCAGTTTTAAACTACCAGCTGTTCCACAGGAGAAAGGCGAGACTTTCTGCTCCCGGAAGCCCTGTACAGGGTTACTAGGAGTCGGTTCCAACTCCAAGGTACATAACCACCACAGCTACTCCGTAAAATATCTTTGTATCATTCAATGACTGTGCCTCAGATCACACGTGCCCTATGGTAATTTTCTTAATCTCTTTGGGGGCTGTAACTTCTCCACTAAAAATAACACACAAGTGCGCAGTTCTCCATTTCATCTTAATGGCCTCTTCAGCAGCTATGTTCATAGTGGGGGATCCCTGTAACTCTCCTGGCTTTCTCCTCCCGGGCGGCCCCAACACTGGCAAACTCGCTGAACTCTGACATCAGCTCCTTGTCTGGGACGAAATTCGTCCTGCAGAAAGCGCGAAGGCGCCTGGGGGTTACAAGCTCAAGTCTTCGACGCGAACAAGCCTGGAACACAGTTTCCGGCCGCTATTATCCACCCGGACGCCAAGGGAGACGAACGCGCCGGGGGAAACGGAAGAGGCTGGGGGATGGTTTTGGCAGATGGACGTACTATTCCGGTAGAGTTCATAGTTTAATTACTGTCTCGGCGATGTTTCTTCGGGTGTCGGCTTTCTTACCTCTTCACCCCTTCTCCTACTTCCCTTTATCTTATGGGGGTGCGGAGGTATCGGCTGCTGCGATTCTGTTGCAGGAAACGATCAGGTAACGCATTTCAGCTCTGTTGGCCCCGCTGGTCATCGGGTAAACCCATGCCCTTGCCAGCCCATTATGTCAACTTACACTCCAGCTTCCTGGGGTCAGCTTTATAACCCGCTTAGAAATCATTGCGTTAAAACTGAAAAAGAAAAAATTCCAGAAAGAGAAAATGACTTGCCCATTGTTAGAATTAGTTTGGGAAACAGCTACGATTATACGCCTGGTAGTTGTCCTATGTACTTTCTGCTACACGCCGTAACACATCCTCTGTTTATCCAGGTTCCAGAACTAAAGTTTCGTTTTATTATTGCTCTTTGTGCATTTTAAGACTTCTTTAATGATCGCATTCTTGACTCTTATTTATTCTTCAGTACATTATTGAGAATGCAGTGTGATGGTGTTAGTGTTGATCCCGAACACGTGCATTCTTGGCATTTACGGAGTTTGTAGTCTTGGTATGGCGTTATAGGATCAGCACTGGACCGCAAGGTCGGCGGTTCAAATCCACCAGCCGTTCCTAGGAAACCTTATACAGAGTCCCTCTGAATTGGAATCAACTTAATGGCACTAACAACAGTGGTAGAATGGTCAGAGAGAGAGAAGATGTCAACTGACTACCCTGAAGACGTTGTTAAATGCCGTCGAGTTGGTTCCGACCCATAGAGACCCTGAACAGCGTTTCCGAGGCTGTAAATCTTTACGGGAGTAGAAAGTCTCATCTTTCTCCCGCGGTGCAGCTGGTGGTTTCGAACTCTAGACCTTGAGGTTTGCAGTCCAGTTCGTAACCACTGCGCTACCAGAGCTGCGCCCTGAAGGCTTAGGGTATCATTTATGGAAACAGAAGGAAAAGGAGCAAGTTTTAAGTGGTGGTGGTGGTGGAATCTTTCATAGATTTTAAAATATAAAATATCTCTTTATGGTAAAGATCGGTCCAATACAGAATGGTAAAAAAGAGAAACTCAATCTTGGAGGAGAGCTCTTGGACTTGATTTTGGATGTGCTGTATTTGAAGTGCTGGTGAGATGCTCTCAGTGGAAATGAGCTATAGGAGGTTAAGACTAGAATTTTCTCTTATTAATGTTAAGGAGTTAGCCTTTAGTTCCTATTCATGCTTTACCTGTAATGAATATGGATTACTTTCTTTGGCACTGTATCTTGGAAGGAAGCAATGTAGTTAAGAATTATATTGAGTGTATGTGGAATTCATTCTTTTCTGTGTTACAATAAAACCTTTATTATTAGTGAATTTAACTTTCAGATGTCACATAATTAGAACCATTTTCATAAATCGAATTGTTCCATATATTATATAATGAAGGTCCAGTGGACTGATTATGAGAATGCTGGTTATACAATTGTTGTTTCATTCAGAATTTTTAGGTGATTGATAACGATAGTCACTGACATTGTCATAAGATCAAATTACTTGTTTTGGAGCTTTTGAAAATTGCCATTTTCTCTTTCATTGAAGGCCTGCTGCCATTGCTATCTTTGGGAACTTGTTGTAGTAGTTAACCCAGGGTCTAATGCAGAGTCTTGAGTTGCTTACATCAAAATCACCTAGAGTTTGGGTTAAAATGCAAGTCCCCAAGCCCCATTCCAGAATTAACCAACTAGGGATCCACACTTTTAATAAACTCTCTGGGTGGACGATTCTTAACTTTAAAGGTTAAAACCAGTGACTTAAACTTTGATTAACAGGCTTTTTCTTCTTTAAGATGGGAATACTGTAAACTGTCTTACAAAATTCTAAGGCTTAAGTAACATCCACAACATATCTACTCAAGTGTAGTTCGCTGAGGGCAACATCAGCATCACCTTGGAACATGTTGTTGTTATTGTTAAGTGCCGTTGAGTTGGTTCTGACCCATAGCAACCCTGTAAGCAGTTTCCGAGGAGCAGCTGGTAGTTTTGAACCTCAGCCTTGAGGTCCAGCACATTATCATGCAGCACTACTGCAAATTCTTGAATCCCACCCCAAATTTACTGATTCAGAATACCTTGATGGGTGTTGGAGAATCTGTTTTAACTAATCCTCTAGGTAATTCCTCTGTGCATTAAAGATTGAAGACCAGTGCCCTAGCCTTGGCTTCATAAATGTTAAAAACACCATGTAAAAACTGTTGTCATTGATTGACTTCTCCATACTGAGCCTATATAAGACAGTAGAACTGTCCCCCATAGGGTTTCCTAGGTCAAAATCTTCCATGAAGCAACTGATGGGTTTGAACCACTGACCCCATTGTACCACCAGGGCTTTCCTCCAAAAAAGTTGATGTTAAGTGCCTTTGAGTCAGTTCCTATCATTGTGACACAGTATAGGCTTTCCAAGGAGTGGCTGATGGGTTTGAACCACTGACCTTGCAGTTAGTGGTCCAATGCTCATCCTAGCTTATGCTACACCAGGGATTGTGCATAAAAGTAGGGCCATGAAATCGTATATACTCAGTATCTAGTGTCGTACCCTGTAGAATACGGGTATTCAAATGATCAATGAGGGACTTTTTATAAATCTTACCCTCTTATTTAAACTGAGAGCATTAGTCCACAGCACTGCAACAGAACTCTTATTTAAACTAACATCTCCATTTAACCCTTAGTGTTAACGAATTTAACTTTGAGGAGTAGAATAGTGATCATAGCATTTCTTTACATTACCCTCTATACTTTTTACTGTTACGTTTGTATCCCAGAATATTGGTTCAGGCTAGCTTGTCTGACTAGAATTATGTTGATGTATATAGTCACACAGTATACTTGAATATGTTTAGATAGTTGAGTTACTAAATGTTAAACATTCTTGTGCATGGGTCCGAAATAGATTTGATCCTTTGTACTACTCTTTCTCTCATGTTGTTAAGTGCCATCAAGTCAGATCTAGCTCACAGTTGTGTAAGGTTTCTGAGGTGTGACTAGCGGGTTTGAACCACTGCCCTTCCAGAACTCCTTCTCATGAGTGCATCTAATGAAGACAGCAGAATGATAACTCTAGCCATGGAATATTTTTCTCTGTTCTATCTCAGGTAGCATAGTGGTTATAAGTCAGGCTGCTAACCTCAAGGTCAACAGTTCATAACTACCAGCCGTTCCGTGGGTAAATCCTATAAAGATATACAGCCTTGGAAACCCTACATAGGGAACTATGAGTTAGAACCAACACCGTGGCACACAACAACAACAAAGAAATGGTGATTACTTAACTCTGGAGTCCTGGTATTATAATGTAGGATAAGCACTGGACTGTAAGGTCAGTTTGAAGCAAAGGTTGGTAGGTCAGACTCACCAGCTGCTCCTCAGAAACCTTATACAGGGTCTCTGTGAGTCAGAACTAACTCTGTGGCGTTTAACAAGAAGGAACTCTGGCAGTGTAGTGAATTACTTGTTGGGCTGCTAACCCGCAGGGTCAGTAGCAGGAGAAAGACAAGATTGTCTGCTCCTGTAAAGATTTACAGCGTTAGAAGCCTTGTACAGGGTTGCTGTGATTGACACTGACGCTACAGCACACACCACCACCATGTATGATGATTAGTTAAATGGCATGTTCTAGCTCAGTGAGAAGGTTGATCAGATTAGTGCAATACCCAGGAGGTTTTTTGTTAAGACTATAACCTTTTTTTATGCAATTCTCACAGTTTTTAGTAGTATATGTGTGCCATGTATTAGAGCCCTTAAAGTTTTCCCTATTTTTTCATTAATGACCTTTATAATTCTGGGATTCATATTTAGTTTTTTAATCCATGCTGAGTTGGTTTTGTATATGGTGTGAGATAAAGTTCTTGTTTCAGTCTTTTTCATATCGATTTCTTGTTCTGCCAGCACCATCTGTTGAAGAGACCAGCTCCTCCCCATTCAATGTACTTTGTTGGAGATCAGTTGGCTGTATGTGGATGGGTTGATTTCTGGATTCTAGATTCTGTTCT